TTGGTCATTTAGAGAGAATGGATCAAAGTAGAATGACATGGAAAGCATATGAATCTATAGGGGAAGGAAGGAGGGGTAGGGGTCGTCCTCGAAAGGGTTGGAATAAGTTTACTGAGTAACTCCTTCTCCTGTATAAATTACTAAATTTAAAAAGAGAAACTTTTGTTTTTCTTTTTGGGCCACCCTGCCTCAGTGGGATACGGCCGGTGTGTTGAAAGAAAGAAGAAAGGGAAGTTTTCATTGCATTTATGGATTTAGAAAAGGCATATGATAGAGTGGATAGGGGAACAATGGGGCAAACGTTGCAAATGTATGGAATAGGTAGAAAGTTACTAAATGCTGTAAAGAGTTTTTATGAGGACAGTGAGGCTCAGGTTAGGGTATGTAGGAGAGAGGGAGATTACTTCCCGGTAAAAGTAGGTCTTAGACAGGGATGTCTAATGTCACCATGGTTGTTTAATATATTTATACATGGGGTTGTAAAAGAAGTAAGAAGTAAATGCTAGGGTGTTGGGGAGAGAAGTGGGATTAAATTATGGGGAATCAAGTACAAAATGGGAATTGACACAGTTACTTTTTGCTGATGATACTGTGCTTATGGGAGATTCTAAAGAAAAGTTGCATAAGTTAGTGGACGAGTTTGGGAGGGTGTGTAAATGTAGAAAGTTGAAAGTGAATACAGATAAGAGTACGGTGATGAGGGTATGAAACGATTTAGATTAAGAAAAATTGGATACCACATTGGAGAGAGGGAGTATGGAAGAAGTGAATGTTTTCAGATATTTGGGAGTTGACTTGTCAGCAGATGGGTTTATGAAGGATGAGGTTAACCATAGAACTGATGAAGGAAAAAAAAGGTGAGTGGTGCATTGAGGTATCTGTGGAGACAAAAAATGTTATCCATGGAGGCAAAGAAGAGAATGTATGATAGTTTAGTGGTACCAACACTCTTATATGGGTGTGAAGCTTGGGTTGCAAACGCTCCAGTGAGGAAGCAGCTGGAGGCAGTGGAGATGTCTTGTCGAAGGGCAATGTGTGGTGTAAATAATATGCAGAGAATTTGGAATGTGGAAATTGGGAGGAGGTGTGGAGTTAATAAAAGTATTAGTAAGAGGGCTGAAGAGGGGTTGTTGAGGTGGTTTGGTCATTTAGAGAGAACTGATCAAAGTAGAATGACTTGGAGAGCGTATACAGAATTCTCCAAGGCCAATGGTATTGATGACTGGACAGACATTTTTCTTAACAAATTACTTAGACTATACAACAAACATTGTCCTATAAAAACGAAACAGATCACAAACAAACGGCTTGGTTGCCCATGGCTAACCAGCACCATTCTGAAATCCATTGATAAGAAACACCAATATGAAAAGCAATATAGACAGGGCTTAATACACAAAGATATTCTTAAACACTATTCATCAGTTCTCACCAAAGTAATAAAGAAAGCCAAACAACTATACTACTCCAGTAGATTCACAGACACTAGAGGAGATATAAAAAAGACCTGGAAAACACACTCTCAGATTCTAGGGACCCACAAACTGAAAAAAAACAAGAATATTGTCCTAACTAAACCTAATGAAACACCACTACATCCCACTGACACAGCTAACAAGATAAACGACTTCTTCTCAACCATAGGATCTAATCTCGCCAATAAAATCCCACACACTAATGCCCATGCCGGGGGACTACCTAGATGGGAATTTCCCAAATTCCTTCTATCTTGCACCAACTGAGCCCTCAGAAGTCACCGAGATTATAAAGTCACTTAAAAACAACTCAGGGAATCTGCCTAATGTCCCACCATTACTGTACAAGTGAGCGGCCCATATCCTTTCGCATGCTATTTCATTACTTTTTAACAAGTCACTAGAAACTAGCACCTTCCCGAAACTACTCAAGATGGCAAGGGTTACACCAATACATAAAGGTGGTGACCCTACAGACTTAAACAACTATTGGCCAATATCAAACTTACCATTGCTATCCAAAATCTTTGAGAAACTCGTGCACAGGAGACTATATTCATTTATAACAGCACAAAACATATTCAACCCCTGCCAAATTGGATTTAGGAAAAATAAAAGCACTAATGATGCAATCATAAAAATGCTAGATCTGCTTTACACAGCATTGGAAAATAAGGAATATCCACTAGGAATTTTTATTGACCTAAGAAAAGCTTTTGACACAGTAGACCACGACATCCTACTCCACAAACTTGACCATTACGGTATAAGAGGCCATGCGCTTGCTTATTTCAAATCTTACCTTACTAATAGGTATCAGTACGTTACCATTAAAGACACAGCATCAACAACACGGCCACTTGATACTGGAGTTCCGCAGGGAAGTGTCCTTGGTCCCCTGCTCTTCCTCATATACATCAATGATCTTCCAAACATATCCCAACACCTGAAACCCATTCTCTTTGCTGACGACACGACTTATGTCATCTCTCACCCTAATCTTGCCACCCTCAACACCATTGTTAACGAGGAGCTGATCAAAATATCGACTTGGATGACAGCCAATAAACTTACGCTTAACACTGACAAAACCTACTATATTATGTTTGGTAGCAGAGCAGGAGATGCACAAATTAACATTAAGATCGACAACACTCTAATTACCAGACATAATGAGGGCAAATTCCTAGGCCTATACCTTGACAACAACCTGAATTTCAGCACCCATATCCAACACATAACCAAAAAAGTATCCAAAACAGTTGGGATCCTCTCCAAGATACGATACTACGTGCCGCAAAATGCCCTTCTCACACTATACCACTCACTTATTTATCCATACCTCACCTATGCTATTTGTGCTTGGGGATCAACTGCAGCAACACACCTAAAGCCAATAATAACCCAACAAAAAGCTGCAGTAAGAATAATCACTAAATCCCATCTCTGGCAACACACCCCCCCACTCTTCATAGATCTAAACTTACTCCCTGTTCAATACATCCACACTTACTACTGTGCAATCTACATCTACAGGACCTTAAACTCCAATATCAACCTTGACCTAAAATGCTTTCTTGATAGTTGTGACAGAACCCACAGGCATAACACCAGACACAAACATCTCTACGACATTCCCCATGTCCGACTAAACCTTTACAAAAATTCAATGTATGTCAAAGGCCCTAAAATCTGGAACACCCTACCTGAGAACTCTAGAACTGCAGACACATTCATCACCTTCAAAACTACCATTAGAAAACATCTTATCTCCCTGATAAACCCCATCAACTAACTACACGAATACCACCTGGTGGTTCACACTTACACTCGCTCACTCATTTGACCATAAACAGAAATATTAATCTCAATCTTAAAATAATGAATCCTATGATACTCCAATACTGAAACTATGTACTGTGCCAAAACAAAAGCATTCACATTGCTAAAGTCACAAACTAGTATTTAGTCACTTAGCCATAATACTAACTTACCTCATAATTTGTAATATTTTAAAATAAAGAATTAAACTAAGTCTGCCCGAAATGCCTAGCCATGCTAGGCGTTCTAGTGGTACAGTCTGTAATCATTATTTAACTACATGTAAACCACACAACAACCAAATTCTGTAAATTCAACATTGTAATCTTTATAGAGAATAAACTTAGAATTTGAATTTGAATTATAAATCTGTAGGGAAAGGAAGGCAGGGCAGGGGTCACCCTCAAAAAGGTTGGTAGGTTTTGTGGGTGAGGGGCTTGGAATTCCAGAAAGCACATGTGAGCGTGTTAGATAAGAGTGAATCAAGATGAATGGTTTTTGGGACCTGACGAGCTGTTGGAGTGTGAGCAGGGTAATATTTAGTGAAGGGATTCAGGGAAACTGGTAATTATAGATTTAGCCGCACTTGAATCCTGGATGGAAGTATAATGCCTGCACTTTAAAGGAGGGGTCTGTAATATTGACAGTTTGGAGGTACTTCTAAACTGTTGTATCTGAGCGCCTCTGCAAAGACAGTGATTATGTATGAGTGAGGTGAAAGTGTTGAATGATGATGAAAGTATTTTCTTTTTGGGTCACCCTGCCTTGGTGGGAGACGGCTGACTTGTTGAAAAAAAAAAAAATTGGGTAAGACACCAGCAAACCAACACAGAGACAATAATACAGAAGAAGAGTTCCGTATATGTAGATAAATGATTCAGAGAACCCACAAGTTGATATATTAGACACCTGTGCAACACTTGGGTATCTTTATTGTGGAAACATTTCACCACACACTGGATTCATTAGCCCAATATAAAGAAGAATGGTGAAGATCAGAAGGAGACCGAGGTAATTAGTCCCTTAGCCAAGAGTCAATTACATCGACTACAGGTTTTGAGGGACTGATCCTCAAACTCCTTACCCTTCTGATCTTCACCATTCTTTGTACTGGACTGATGAAGCCACTGTGTCGTGAAACGTTTTCACAATAAAGATATCCAAGTGTTGCACAGGTGTCTAATTTATCAGTTCTTTATATATTGGTGCTACACAGTGGCTCTGTTCAGTATGAGATCAAAATATATAAAACTCATGTTATCCTTTTTTGCTGTCTCCCTTGTGTCCATTTTTTTCTCATTAGACAGTGTTTATCAGACTTCTATGCATATACAGCATCTTCTCACTTAGCGACTTACTCATTTACCAATGCCTCGGACTATGATGAGCTCTCTGACCAGTATGCATACCTAAATAATGTATATTAGAGCTGATTTCCTCTATTCTGTTTATTTCAATATACAGTACACTACTATATAAACATTTAAAAATATACCAGAAATGTTATAAATGGTGCAAAGGTGACATTAACACAATATCAAGGATGGTTGACACAAACTCACTACCATTATAGTGTGATCCTCACTTAGCGACAAATTTGTTTAACGACGTGGTCTCATGAACGGAACTCCATCGTTAAGTGAGGAGAGGTTGTACTTGGATAACTTGAAAATACTTACACACAGCTAACAGAGTACTACTTACTTGAAAAGCCTGTCAGTTGTATTGCTTTGTGACGAATCATCAAATGTTGCAGGGGTGGACGATGTAATACTTTGCTTGTCTTGGTTCGGTGATGCTGCCTCCTCCTTGAACTGTGACACAGAAGGAAGAGCAAGTAAAGCCTCACTCATGTTGTACGATGCCTGCAGATGGAAAATATTAAAAAATAAAGATGACTACTAATAAGAGCACAGACTGTATCCTGATACATATTGTATGTACAGTACATGTTTGTTTATGCTTTTCCTTCTTTGGGTTGCCTTACATTAGTGGAAAGTTTATCTGGCAACCACACACACAGTGCTACCCTTTCTTGTGCAAACTCACACAAGAAGGTTGAAGCCTTTTACCATAAATATTGTTTCCATTTCACATTTTAACAGGATGGCTTGTGTATAAACACAAAGTATTATAATTTTTATACCACTATGATTGCAATAACTAAGACAAATTATTAATTTATTTTCTTTACATTTGCATCATGATTCAAAATTTCTCTAATGTTTGTATTACTATCTATTCTGTGACAAACATTATATTAATGTCTACGATCTGTATATTTCTGACATATAGACAGCTATGCAGTGGTCAGAAAATACAAGTTAAATTTCTCAGGTGTTACATAATAGAACAGAACTCCTCATTATGTGACCAACAGTTAACACTGTACACTACAGTACTCTAAGTACTATCCTCCAGATTATAGGTGGTTAGTTTCTCGTGGTAACATTTTTGGCTTGTAACCAAATTACTTGGGATCGATCCAGGTGCAGGTGTACATGTTGGGTATGTTTCCTTACACCTTCTGCCCTTGTTCAGCTAGAAGTATCTGGGCAGTAGCTGACTGTTGTGGGTGGCATTCTGGGGTGAAGTTGGTATCACACTTCAAATAAAAGCTGGGCTTTACAGTGACCTAGGGTAGGGTGAATAAAAGCCCCATAAGTGACACTTTCTTTATCAAATTCATTTTTTTTTAAAGACTCTCTAGCTTGCCACTTAATTTTTAATTATTGTTTTCGATGTTTCTATTTTGCCCATAAAATCACAATAAGGTAAAACTTTGCTATAAAAATTTCTAGAAATAATAAAAATATCAACAGTATTAATTAAATCATTACCCTTGATACAACAAGTTAACATTTTCCCTGACATTCAAGATCTGTAGTCAATGTTAATTTTAATACTCCATTAACATCAACATCATTATAGAACAGTACATAAAAAAGTGCTGTATAAAAACTGAAAAACTATCAAAAAATTATATACTATACTGAACACGACTTCTTCCAAATTCTTCAGTGTAATTACTGAGAAGTAGTGAAGGTAAGTTAAGCATCACCTGAGGTGGTAGTAGCGGCAGGATCTACTTACAGTATAGTGTAATGTATGCATGTGATGCACCAAGAGCAATGCATAGAACTTCTAATTCTGACTGGTGCCACTTATAATTCAGTGTGGCACAGATGTGTTGGCTCTATTACAACATGAAAAAATCATAATGTGGTACAGTATTTGTTTTATATAAAGACAGTTGTTGCTAAAGCTACAGTGCTGTATTTATTACAAATAATTCTACTTTGAATAAATAGATATGGTGTGATACTGGCTGCCATTCTCACTCCATCTGTAAATAAACTGATCTGGTGTGCAGTAGCAACAGCATTCAACAATGTGTGTGCTCTCTCTCTCTTTCTCATTCTCTCTCTCTCTCGTGCCTTACAGCTTTATTTTTGATGATACATGCATGGAAGTGAAGAAGTTTCACTTCAACATACCTAGTGATCTGCTGCCTCCTCCACTAATCCACTGCTTTTAATACATAACACTTCTCATCACTGTTTACATCAGTATCTTCTTTACCAGTCACTAGTATAAAATAGTGCAGAACTGTGAACCTAAGTTAATATATTGTGTAGTATCTAAAAATTCCACATAAAAATTAAATAAAAATGTGTGTCACAGTTCTCAATGTGCTTGTACGCAGACTTAGTACAGTATTAGTGAAAGTCAAGTGGTACTCGAAAGAAACTTTGTAATCTCTTCATTTATGTCTTCTATACCTCCTTCCATTCCAAGTATGACTAGTAAATTGGGTCAAATGTGTTAACCCTTTCAGGGTCCGTGCCATAGATCTACGGCTTTAGGTTCAGGGTCCAAACCGTAGATCTACGCCATGAGCTCAGTTCACTCTGATAAGCTGTGAGCAGTAAATTTGGGCCTAGATATGAGAGAATATAACTATGTGGTATGTGTGCACCACATAAAACAAATCCTGTAGCACACAGTGCATAATGGGAGAAAAAAACTGAGACCGTAATTTTCGATTAAAACAACAACTTTGCAGTGTTTTTTTGTATGTTTTTTATAGTTGTATTTGCAATTTCTTGGTCTCATATGATAGAATGGAAGATATACTACAGAAATAGAGATGATTTTGATTGGTTTTAGTACTGAAAATGGCTTGAAACTTAGCTCAAACGAGCAGAAATGTTAAATTTTTGTCGATGTTCAAGAGTAAACAAATGACCTCACAAGTCTAATACATGACAGCTGGTGGGTCTAATATACATTCACAAATGTGGTGATATTATTTATACAATTATTACAGTCTTGCATAACAGTAAATCTTCTATTTTTTGGTTTGAATAAAAATTCATTATGTGAATAAAAAATCAAAATGGAATTCATTTGCAAAGCCTGAAAACGTAACTAATGAACAGAGGAAATGTTAGTTTAGTGCCAGTAATGCCTGCATTGTTTATTTTGGACGCTATTTTGAAATTGGAATATTTTGAACTTTGCATTAAATTGGCCGAATTACCAATTTCCGGTCACTTTATTTTGTTGCTGAAACAGTTGATTTGGCGATTTCTTGTGCTCAATCGATAGAACAGAAGTAATACTAGTGAAATAGCTAGGAATTTGGTTGACTGGAATACTGTAATTGCCCTAAAATGGGAGTCAAAGTCGGCAAAATCGCCGATGCGTAAATATCGCCGACACATCAAAATTCGCGAGAGCATAATTTCATCAATTTTCCATCAAATTTCGTACTTTTTGTTTTATTACCTTCAGAAAAAGATGCTCTACCATTTCATAAGAAAAAATAACAAAATTATTTTTTGAAAATTCTTGGACCCTGGTGCGCACTTTGAAATTTGGCCTCTGGACCCTGAAAGGGTTAAATATGGGAGAAAAAATTCCAGGAAAATTCAACTGTAAACCAGTAAACTCTTCAGAACACTGGCCAACAGTGCAAAATACCCCAATGAAAAGCATGGGTGCAATGAGTACACTGAGGGAAAACTCAATAACTGTGAAGGGACCAAGATTTTTCAACATCCTTCCTTCAAATATAAGAGGGGAATTACCAACAGACCCCTGGCTGTCTTCAAGAAGGATTTGATTAAGTTTCTCTAGTCAGTGCCTGATTAGCTGGGCTGTGGTGTTTTGTTAGACCTCGTGAAGCTAGTACCAACAGCCTGGTTAATTAGGTCATCCACCGGGCCACAGAGGCACTCACCCTCAGAACACACTCCAGTTTAGGCTCCGGGTAGCTTTAAAAATAACATTGGATAAATGAACGTAGGAAGTGCTAAAAAAAAAAAAAATCCAAAAAAATTACCTTGAGTTAAAAATGGAATATGCAGCTATCACCTGGCATCCACAATTAAAGAAAAATGAACAAGGTAGAAAATGATTAAAGGCAAATTACAAAATGATTACCAGTGTTTATAAGAAAAAATATGAATTCTGATGAAAAAGAAGAGTGGACACATGACAGCCACTTATAATATTGTATAAAGGCCATAAAAGTTACAGACTAGTTTTGCTGAATATTGTATTTTGTAGTATTTACTCAATCATATACATTTGTCAGTCACATTACGATGCAGTGTATGACAGTGGTGCCATCTCACGTACACCTATCAGATACATATATTGCAATATACGTGAATATTGCCACCTCATACACACATATCAGTCACACACATGTAGTATACCGAAACATGCATAAGTGGTGCAATCTCTACCAAGTTTAGACCCTGTTATTTAGATACCCGACTATTATGAGGCAAGTAGTGTACTCTGTCTGAATAAAATGACAGAAGGCATCAATAAATGCTCATAACATTACTCACAGTGCTTATGTCAACCCCTAAACCTGAAAGGGAGTCATCAAAATCTTCTGCAAGTCCTTGATCAATGTCCTCTGATTCCCAGTGTCGCTGATGGCCTCCTTCTACAGATATGTAACCTGTGAACATAGCAGATGAAAGCAAGTTAGTATCAAGTATATACAGTGGACCCCCGCTTAACGATCAGCTCCCAATGCGACCAATTATGTAAGTGTATTTATGTAAGTGCGTTTGTACGTGTATGTTTGGGGGTCTGAAATGGACTAATCTACTTCACAATATTCCTTATGGGAACAAATTCGGTCAGTACTGGCACCTGAACATACTTCTGGAATGAAAAAATATCGTTAACCGGGGGTCCACTGTACTTTATTCACATTTAAATTACTATTATTATTCTTCCTTTCTTCCAGCAAACTGGCAGTATCCCACCAAGGCAGGGTGGCCCAAAAAAAGAAAAACAAAAGTTTCTCTTTTTAACTTTAGTAATATATACAGGAGAAGGGGTTACTAGCCTCTTGCTCCCAGCACTTTAGTCGCCTCTTACGACATGCATGGCTTATGGAGGAAGAATTCTGTTCCACTTCCCCATGGAGATAAGAAGAAATAAACAAGAACAAGAACTAGTAAGAAGACGGAAGAAAACCCAGAGGGGTGTATATATATGCTTGCACATGCATGTGTAGTGTAACCTAAGTGTATGTAGAAGTATCAAGACGTACCTGAAATCTTGCATGTTTATGAGACAGAACAAAGACACTAGCAATCCAACCATCATGTAAAATAATTACAGGCTTTTGTTTTACACTCACTTGGCAAAATGGTAGTACCTCCCTGGGTGGTTGCTGTCTACCAACCTACTACTTAGGATTATTATTATTATGACTGTTATATTCATGAGACATGGGAAAGGGATGTAATCAAGTTTGATCTGAGAAAGGGTTGGGTAACTTCAATTCCTTTGAAAATTTGAGTGCAATACAGTAGCAAGTTGGTCACTGAGGGGTTCAAGGCCAGTGATTTTTCACTGAACCATTCAGAGAGTGGGAGAAACAGATGTTATGAAGGAAGATGTGACTGAATGGTTGGATCATGGTTACCAGATGTTGAGTGATCCAGAAATTACAGATGAAGCTATTAGCACCCTCTGGATGAACAGGATAGTGATAACAACAAAAGAGAGACTGTGAGGCTACCCAAATTGTCATCCGTATCAGATGCAATTAAGGTTCTCATCATATACATGGACATCAGAGAAATGCAGGCCTATTAGCCATATTTTTTAACTTTAAGGGAATTTGTCACGAGGGAGCAGCATCAGTGTGAAAAACAAATGAAACCTGATGTATTCTGTAAACCTGTTCATTATTCTGTATCTCCCAAACCATCTAAAAGGAAGTCAAAACAATCTAAGTGTCCTTAACCATCTATGCCTGTTGAGCCATCTATGTCTCCCACACCATCTGCAATGTTTATGCTGGAGCTTTACAGCTTCTCTGACTCAACAAAAGTTATTCCGAGTCACTGCTAGACAACATGGTAATCCAACTGTAAGCTCAAGATTCTATCCACCAGAAGAGGTAAAAAATTACTCTAATTATGTTCGGGTACAGTACTGTAATTTACTCTACCATATTGCAATAGTGTAGCTTACTCTTAGTATGTCTGGTAATGCCACCAATACAGCAGACTTAAGTCTGCTGCATTGGACATTTGTCCATGTCCTGTAGTTGGCAACCTTGACCATTTTCAAACAAAGGATTTTTGTTAAAGTGGCCTCCCATTCCCACTATTAGTCCATTACACAGAGGTTCACTGTACTGCACCTCCAATAAAAAGCAGAGAGCAGTGAGTACACTTAGTAACAACTCAATAAGTGTAAAAGGACCTAAACATTTCAACATTATCCTTTCATACATAAGGGAAATCAGCAATAGACGCTTACCTGTCCTCAAGGGGGAACCTAAGTTCAGGTCAGTTCCTAAACAACCAGGCTGAGTTGCCTACAGTGGACTGAGTGTAGCTAGCACCAACAGCCTGATTATCAGGCCATCAACCAAGAGGCTTGGTCTAGGACTGCGCTACAGATGCAGTGATTCCTGGAATTGTCTACAGGTAAGCTACTAGTCATGTACAGTATAGGAGTATACTGTAATATAATTTATGAAAATTTATACTGCTTTTCAGATATAAAAACTGTACATATAATAGCTACAGTACCTTTTTTACTCGGCACTCCTATGCTTTTTATTGCTTCTTGCCAGTCAGTGAAGACTCCAAGACGGCGAGCATTGTTGTCATCCTCGTGAGCTTCCAAAGGATCAAGAATTCGTTTACGAGTTCGGCCACTGCAAACCTCACCAGATCTATTACCCCCCGAAACTGGGTCACCCATGTCAATCTGTATCGGGTAGCTATCAGGATTCTGTAAAGAGATACAACAAATATTTAGAATATAAAAATTTAAATTGGAATGCACTAATACAGTAATATATTATCCTACAATGAAAAGAATGAATAAACTAGTCTGTAATGCTGTTAACATTACACACTCAACATGCACAGGATGCTACCAACTGAAACAAGCAGACTGCCATGCCTATTCTGCAACTACAATATAGTGACATAGCATGTAATGTCGGTATATTAGTTTATGGATTTTCACAATGCTTTACTGGGGTTCAGATAATAGCATAACTATAAATAAATTATAAACATGCCTTTGCCTAGTAGTCAAATGTGTTTATGGGGCTAATTATCATACAATGCTGATGAGGTTCTGTCGTGGCTCTACCTAGAAAGGCAGATGTGGTTGAAATACAATCCCTGACTGGGTCCTATAGCTAAGTATCATTGCATTCAATTAAAGGTGACAATATTAAGTCTCCCTGATTACATAATTACACAGAAATTGCTATTTATGACTGCTGCCTATACATTACTGTGATTTTAATGTGTATAAAGCAATCTTAATTAGGCAAATTTTTATAGTGTAATAATGTATAGCTACTAATTTCCTGAAAAAAAAAATCATTCATGAAAAACTGCTAGTAAACAATTTCTCAGCAACACCATCTATGAGCAGATATTTCTGAAATTCAATCTACCGATCACAGTGTCAATCAAATGTTGATAACTTTAAAGTGTTTGCACACTCCAGACTGGAATACTGCCATACACATTTAAACCTGACACAAATGTAGATCAGGACAATGTACAGAGAACTTCAATGCCAGAGAACTTTCAATACTAGCTCACACATTGAGGTCAGTGGTTCAATCATCGGTACCTGTTGTCCCTGCTCACCTATCGGTAAAATAGGTACCTGGGTTTTAGTCAACTGGTGTGGGTCACATCCTAGGGACAAAATTGACCTAACTTGCCCGAAATGTTCTGCATAACAAGGTGCTTTCTATGTAGTACTATGTCATTGTTGTCAGCTAGGCATGTGCACATTGTACATGTACTTGTAGAAATTATTATTATTATTATTATTATTACTATTATTATTATTGTATTATTATTTTTTTTTTTAACAAACCAACCGTATCCCACCGAGGCAGGGTGGCCCAAAAGGAAAAATGAAAGTTTCTCCTTTTAAATTTAGTACTAATATATACAGGAGAAGGGGTTACTAGCGTTCCACTTCCCCATGGAGATAAGAGGAAATAAACAAGAAGAACTAGAAAGAAAACAGAAGAAAACCCAGACCTTATTTCTTGGGGAGCATTGAAAGTTGGGTTGGGCAAATGTTTTGTTAGTGGGATGGATTGTAAAGGACCTGCCTAGTATGGGCCAACAGGCCTGCAGTGTTCCTCCTTTCTTATGTTCTTATGTGTGTGTATATATATGCTTGTACATGTATGTGTAGTGTGACCTAAGTGTAAGTAGAAGTAGCAAGACGTACCTGATATCTTGCATGTTCATGAGACAGAAAAAAGGACACCAGCAATCCTACTATCATGTAAAACAATTACAGGCCTTCATTTTACACTCACTTGGCAGGACAGTAGTACCTCCCTGGGCGGTTGCTGTCTACCAACCTACTACCTTAAATTATTATTATTACTGTATTATTATCATTACATTATTATTATAAACTGTATATACTCCCTGGAGTGCAGGCAAGAAATATTTGTCATTATTTATACCTGGAAAATACTAGACAAACTGATACAAATCTTCATGCTGAAATAAATCATTACAAGAGGAAAAGTCATGAGAGACAATGAAAATTAGCCCACCATGAAAGGCACGGGATACAATAAGTACACTAAGAAATAATCCATAAGAATAATGGGTTCAAACCCTTTCAAAAACCATCCCTCAAATATAAGGGAAGTACTAACAAACCCTTGACAGTCTTCAAGAGGGAACTTGATAAGTTTTACCCTTGTTTCTAATTAACTGAGCTGTGGTGCTAACTAGATGTATTTCAGACACTGTGGTATCAACTGGGCTGTGGTGCTAACTAGATGTATTTTAGACACTGTGGTATTAACCCTCTGACTGTTGAAACCCCAAATCCTGAGGTGTCTCCTGGTGTCGCAAAATATTTGAAAAAAAAAAAAAAAACAAAAAATTTCTTATGAAATGATAGAGAATCTTTTCCCGATGGTAATGACACCAAAAGTATGAAATCTGATGGAAAACTTACTGAATTACGCTCTCACAAAGTTAGCGACCCCAGCGATATTTACGAATCGGTGATTTCACACACTTTGAGCCCTATTTTCGGCTAATTCCATTGTTCCAGATGACCAAACTGATAACTATTTCTTTAGAATTCCATTTGTTCTATCGATTGAGTACAAGAAACTGCCCATTTACCGATTTCAACTACTCAATAAAGTGATCAGAAATTGGCAATTTGGCCAATTTCACGCAAATTAAAAAATATGCCAATTTCAAAATAGGGTCCAGAATGAACAATGCAGATATTGCTGGCTCTAAAATAACATGTTCTTTGTTCATCAGTCATGTCTCCAGGCCCCTCTGATATTACTCTTGTTTTCTATTTTGAATTTTTATTCAAACAAAAAATAGATGATTTACTGTTATGCAAACTACTGCAATATTGTAATAATTGTATAAATAACATCAACCCATTCATGACTGCATATTAGAATGGCCAGTTGGACATTTATTGGACAATGACATCATTTGTTTACTCTTGAACATCGGCAAAAATCAATCATTTCCCCTACTTTGAGCTCCATTTCACGGTCCTTTTCATAGTAAAACCAATCAAAATCACCTCTATTTCTATAATATGTTTTCCATTCTATTGGGAGTGATTACGAAAACGAGAATATAACCATAAAAACTATACGAAAATACACCTCAAAGTCGGCGTTTTAATCTAAAAACACGGTCGGAGTTTTTTTGTCTCATGCACTGCGTGCTGCAGGATTTCTTTTATATGGTGCCCACTGACCACACAGACCCATTCTCTCACATGTGGGCCTACCAGCTTTCTCCTGCTTGATTTGAAGCCGCTAGAATTTTTGAGTATATATACGTCAAACACGGTGGCTCATAAGACGTATATATACAACCGAAACAGTCAAAGGGTTAAAGAAAGGGATCCCATATCCCATTAGTCCAGCCCCTGCTTCCTCAAAAAACACAAAAGGAATAAACAGAAAAGAATGTAGCACTGAAGATCTGAATCATTTACTAATATACAAATTAATTTCTTTAACAAAAATGGCAAACCAGCTTCTTCCACTAAAATACACTATGAGCATAATTACTATTTTTAAGGGAATCACTCAAACAGCCCTTGGGGAATCAGAGGAAATCGAAACTTGATCCAAGGAAGTGGGGTTTCATTCCAATCCCTTTCACAGTCATCAAGACATCTCTCGAGGCCAATAAGAAGATGCTTTCTCTAGTTATTACACAGACTAATATGAAAGCAAAACCCACCAGCACTAAGTTGGAAGCTGTTAGAGGTTGGAACTCTGAAGTTATTGCCTTCAAAGTTTGAAGCCAACTAGCTGAGGTTTCCACATATTACTGCACGAAAGCAGTCTTTCAATTTTCCAGTTTCCTAAGCAAACTGGTATCTACACAGCTCAAAATTAGTCCAAGTATTTCTCCAAGATATACTAGCATTCAAGGTTTGAAGTTGATCAGAAGAGGCATTCCTCAGTTATTGCATGGAAACTAATTTGTTTCATAAAACTGGCATATTAAAATTTACACAACCCATAATCAATGTGAACCAACCATTGAGAAAAATACACCACTTAAATGTTTGAAACTGATCAGAAGATGCATTCTCCAGGTACTGCAGAGAAGACAAAATTAAAAGTTTATTAACTATTTTAATAAATCTGCACCTACACAGTCTAAACCCAAAAGATATCATCCTTTTTCATTATAGGCATTGGCTATTCAAGGCTGAACCCATTCACAAAAGGCATAAGTTATTTCACAGGAAAAAAATACCAGCAACATTTATTTTTCAAGCAAATTAATATTTACACATTCCAATAAAAATCCCAGCCTTTTTCTAAGTATGATACACCAATGTTGAAAATTCAAAACTTATCAGCCTGGTTGATCTGATATCTAGTGAAGATACTTGGCCAGTTTCCTCTTGAAGACTACTACAGCTGTCCCAACAGTGTTTCTGATATCTTCTGATAAGATGTTGAATAGTCTGGGCCCATGCATGTTGATATCATGTTCTCTCATTGTGTCCACAGTGCCCTTGCTTTTCACTGGGTTTATTTTACATTTCCTCTCATATCTTTCACCCCATTATGTTGTTATGGCAGTGTGCAGATTTGGGACAAGACCCTCAAGTATTTTCCAGGGATATATTATCATGTATCTCTCTCCTTCCTCCGCTCTAGCAAGTACAAATTTATGACCATAAGGCGCTCCCAGTAATTTAAATGCTTTAGTGGCTCTATGTAGGCCATAAATGATCTCTAAACGAGAGAGCATAAGTGATTTGACAAGTGTCACTACTGGTATTATTTTTCCTTGCTTTGAAAGTTTTCATTATCCACCTGGTCATGTTCCCAGCTGTCATGACATTTGCCTTTGTGTTCCTTGAAAAAAAAAAAAAAAGATCAGCTGACATTACTCCCAGAATTTTCATGTTTTATTTTTTATTAACACATCAGCCATTTCCCACCAATGCAGAGTGACCTGAAAAAGAAGAAACACTTTCATCATCATTCACTCTATCACTGTCTTGCCAGAGGCATGCTGACACTACAGGTAAAAAGCTGCAACACATCTCCACTACTCCTTCAGAATGCAGGCACTGTACTTCCCACCTCCAGGAATCAAATCCTGCTAACTGGTTTCCCTGAATCCTTTCATAAATATTACTTTGCTTACACTCTTAACAGCACATTAAGTCATAAAAACCATTTGTTTCCACTTGTTCCTATCTAACACACA